TCACACTACAGTAGCACCCACTAGCTTGTGTCAAAATGGTTGTAGACATCATACTATAGTAGCACCCACTAGCTTGTGTCAAAATGGTTGTAGACATCATACTATAGTAGCACCCACTAGCTTGTGTCGAAACGTATGGCACATTTTAGCTACTGGTTTTACTTTACATTTCATATGGCACTTCAACAAATCTTTAAGTTTATTATTTTCCCAACACTTTAAAAACACTTGATATATGGAAAAGCTCTAAATGTTTATGTGAGCTGTACATTTAAAGCTTTTACAAACAATAATTTAAAAAGTGTTTTGTTCCATCAGGTTTTTTAAACAATTCTTTTTCTTACTTACCAGATGATGTACTAATACTAATCTTGACTCATAGCAAAGGGCATACAAAGACAGTTATGAGTTTCTTAATGAGAAACATGTTTTCTAATAAGATTTCAAAATCATTGAAAGGAATTAAAATAGGACAAAACTAAAGAATTGCAAAATAAAGCATGTAAACGGTATTTGTCATGCATTTTAGTAACTTTTTAAAACTTCTGATAACTTAGGACCAAAATACACATTCTAAACCTACGTGGTTATAAAATTTACTCCTAAAATCATAAGAATCAGAAAAAAACATTAGGATATTTTATGAAGAAGTAGGAATAAAAATAAAGAATATTTTACACAGGGCAGGGATGAAGCAAAGAGGATTTAAATTTACAGGAAAAGTAAGGATGGTTTGTTTTGAATCTTGTGAAAACCTACATGAGGGTTATCTGTGCTAGTCGTCCCTAATTTAGCCGTAAAAGACTAGAGGGAAAGGCAGCTAGTCATCACCACCCTCAGCAAACTCTTAGGCTACTCTTTTATCAACAAATAGTGGGATTGATCGTCACATTATAATGCCCTCACGGCTGAAAGGGCAAGCACGTTTGGTGGGGTAGGGATTCAAACCCATGACGCTGAGATTGCAAGTCAAGTGCCCTAACCACCCAGCCATGCCGGGCCTAAAGTAATGAAGAAGTAGGGAGGATTTTATAGAAATGGTATAAGGAGGTTTTACAGAACATTTAGGGGTGAAGTAGGGAGAATATTACAGAAAGTACAGCAATACTACAATTTAGTTTTACATGGACAGTTGCCTTTTTGAGGCTCCATACAACATAGAAGTTTTAAAACACAAGTACATTATAAGGACTTTTTAAGATTGTTTTTTTTATATGTTTTGCTTTTTTGTAATATATCTATCATTGCCAGCAACCACATTAGGATTCAATAACAACTTCCACATAAAGCTTGTTTGTTTGTTTTTGAATTTTGCGCAAAGCTACATAAGGGCTATCTGCACTAGCCGTCCCTAATTTTGCTGTGTAAGACTAGAGGGAGGGCAGCTAGTCATCACCACCTACCGCCAACTCTTGGGCTACTCTTTTACCAATGAATAGTGGGATTGACCGTAACATTATAATGCCCCCACGGCTGAAAGGGCAAGCATGATTGGTGTGACAGGGATTCGAACCCACAGACTGCAAGTCGAGCGCCCTAACCACCTGGCCACATAAAGCTTTAAATAGCATAAATGTTTTGGTAGATTGTAGAAAGCTATAATTAGAAAAGGTGTCATCTACGGTCCTTGTTCATACTTATAATTCTGTTTTGGTAGTTACATTTTCTCTGTGTTGTCGAGCGCCCTAACCACCTGGCCACATAAAGCTTTAAATAGCATAAATGTTTTGGTAGATTGTAGAAAGCTATAATTAGAAAAGGTGTCATCTACGGTCCTTGTTCGTACTTATAATTCTGTTTTGGTAGTTACATTTTCTCTGTGTTGTAAAACTTTTACTTAAATTATTAAGAACGCTTTATATAATCATACAGTGAGCAAAAGAGCCATAAAATATTTTCCTTAGTTTCCTATTAACTAAAATTAGCCTTTTCTAAACTTTCAATTTTCTTCATTTGTTTAGGTTGATGTAATCAATCACAGGATATCAACACAAGCTTTTCTCACTTTGTCCTAAGAATCAAAAAACATATGTGGAAATGTTCTTTTCCCCAAAAAAAACAAATAATAATAAGGTAATGTTTGAAAACTTAAGGGGGTACCAAAAAGGCATGACCACGAAGATGCCTGAAAGTAGATAAATTCAGAAGCAGTCTAGACACCTGTTGATACACCACTGTTCAGGAATTGCAAATATAAGCACAGTTTCTCCTACAATTTTGATACATGAGTATTCCATGGGTTTCTATCTCCTTTTAGTGTTATAATATTTATTCTGAACTTATTCTTTGTTTTGACTATGTGCAGGTTTCAAATAACTCATGCTCAAGTAAACTGTTAAATTGATCTGAAATTAGGTAATACTTGTTACCACTTATGGTGAACATAGCATTGTACAATGATGTGTAAGAATATCAACAGCACTGTCCTTCAATGGTTTGTTTATGTGATTTTTTGAGGTTACGGTCTCAATTATGTTGTAATGAGAATGACCATACATATGGTAGCGCATGTTGTACTGGATAAACGCAAGATTTCTTGGAACTAAAGAACCTAGCATTTAGTTAGTCTGAAACTTCTTTTTCAACTGGTCCATCTATTCTAGAGCTTTGTCTTGACCAAATAAATCTGAAGAAGCCATTTAGAGCAGTTGTCTGATGTAAGTGCTCTGCATGTATGCACATTGCTTGTATTTAGTGCTTTACTTTGTCCAGTCTTATTATTTCTTTTTATATTGACTCAGTTAAGTAAGAGTTTTAGTTACATTTCATATTCAATATCTTTAACGAATGACCTGTCATTTGGTAGACTTATCTGGAAGCTTAAACATATATTTAGTTCACCTTATGTATCACAAAAGCAAAACATTTTGGAAAAAAACAACTCACCTATAAACATTCTTTGAAACATAATCACTAAAACGGACACTTTTCTTAATCCTATCCGTGCTGCCATCTACTGAGAAGTCACAGTCTGGTGAAGAAATATCTTGTGAAGACCACAAAAAGTCATCGCTTGATTCAGATACAGTTCGGCAGAATTTATCAGAGTATTTTAAAATCCCTCTTCTTCTTCGAATTGGACTCTGTGTAACAGTAAGAGAGATTAAAACTACACAATTACTGAATATATGCATACGAAAAAGAGCCAGCATGGTAAAAAAAAACAATGACAACAGTTTATTAAATGTAGGGTATCAGTATCTTTTAATTAAAAAATATAGGAACTACATACATTTTCAGGAAACTGAGAATATAACACTGAAACAAAAATATGGACTAATAAGAATACCAGTCAAAATAATTTAATTTCATATAAAAGGTATGTGAATATCAAGTAAAATAATATATATCTAAAGCAACAGTAATGTATGCTAACCTGAAAAATCATGCCATTTGTTATTCTGCTAAACTCATAACACAGAAAATAAATCTTCAGAAAGCAAAGAACACTTCAACTTGAATTTTTCTTTTACATTGGATAGTAATATATGAAAATTCAATATTGGAAAATAGAAAAAGCCTTAAAAAACAAGAAGTTGTATGACACTTGATGTCTTGTAAAACATATTTCAAGATGAAAACAATGTAATTGTTTTCGACTTACATTAATATTGTGTTATTGCATGCTCACTTGATGAAACAAGAGACAAAAATAAATCTTCAACAACTGACTTCAACTTGAATTTTCATTAGTAATAACAATAATATAATTGTTTCATGAGGCACGCACTCAAGAAGATCGTGGGTAACGGAATTGGATAGAGTAACGTGAGTTCCACTTTCCCCCTTGTGATTGAAAACTTATAATGGTGCAAATAGTAGTTAGTCATGGTTCAAAGGGCAATAAAACAATAAAATTGAATTATAAATAGATGTATACTGTTACAAGCTTAAAGCTAATTAGAATAAACGAATGTAGTTTCATGTTACAATTTGAAGTCATTCTGGAAAGAAAAAAGGTAATTTAAATTTATTTCAATATGGAGATAGGGTAGAGAAAATAACAGTTTACTGGAAACAACTGTTTGAAATGTATTTAGGAGGTTTTATGGATTACACAAAGGAAATTTGAGATGAAGAAAAGTATTTTCAATCTTAACATGAAAATCACTTTGCACATGGACTATTCAAAAAAATATTTCAGATATTGAAAGAAAAAATTTTTTTAGGTTATTGAAAATACTTCACTAAAAAAATATGATTTTTTGTACGTGAAAGACTTGTAATGTTTACTGAAAGACTGCCAAGTTTTGTAAGATATACATACTATACTAAAAGTTAGTAGTATTAAATCTGTTAAAACCTTAAATGAGTACAAAGAGGTCACATGGTTGGTCAAATCAACTGAGTCTGTGTTGAGAGAGTTAACAGCCACAACTGATATAAAGTTGTGGTGGAAATAATGCATCAGAAGTACATTTTGACAATGTTTGATGTTTCATAAGTAGTGCAATGCCAATAAAAAGAGAAGGGAACTTAACAAACCTTTCCAATGTACAATATATTCATAAACTCAGATCATACAGATGTGTTCAGATATTCAGATCGGGATTTGGAATTTCAAAGACTGAGATATCCCTTGTACTTAATGGCATTGGAAATCAAAGGAATATAGATCAACTTGGAGGACAAGGACCATCCAGAATGAGACCTGAAATAAATCTTACCCTAGATGTGGTAAGCAAAGTGCAGCATCTTGTAACAGGTGAGAATTTACAAACACAAAGTTCAGTGGCAAAAACCATTCAGGTTCCCAGAAAATAGTATACAACATAACCAAGAAAGGTTTCTCCATCTGGAAATGAGGCCAACAGAGTATGGGTTCACCAACATAAGGCTTACAGTCATACCTTCTGTTTGAACATTACATACTTCAGGTAGCAGGAGCATGAAATTGGTATTCATACTATTCTACATGAAAAGTGATGTAGTGGTAAATGTAGAAGCGATGAGTTGTCACGATCTCTCGTAACCTACTCCCCCAAACAGAACAGCCAATTATCAAAGCAGTTATTTGACATAGCTAATGTGTTTAGTGATGACGAATATTATTGCAAAACAGTAGTATATGCAAGGTCAGAGAGCTTTAAGCTAATGATAAAATCTTCCATTTAATTTAACGCATTCCATGTGAGAGACATTATTACAATCCCATTGATCCACATTTGGATATATTAGAAACCAACATGGAAAATAATCTGCATTTGTAGTATGGGAATAGTGCTTCCTCTGCACATGAAATGAGGAGTCAGCATTCCCTTGTGACCCTGCAGGACTGCACTACTGTATATGAATACATACTGGTCAAATCACCAGATTCGGTGTCTATGGGTTTATGTGTGATAAGACTGTTGAAACAACTGCTGAAAACCATTGTTCTGGTATGCTAAGAAGATTATGGAAAGCATGCAGGGAGGAATGGTGTGTTCTGGACATGACAGCCTTTTGACAGAGTTAATTGCAATGGAAAGTACATTGCAGGGTTATTGTCAATATACATGCTCATAAGCTAGAGCATGACTGAATGTGGCAACATGGACTGTAGTAATTTTTATACTTAATTTTCCTTGGACATATCCAATCACTTTGTGTTTCTGACATTTACTGTTTAAAAATTTTTTTTGTACATTTCGGCAAAACTAATAGCTAAATTCTGGGAACTTTTAACATAACAAATTCACTCACCTGATCTTCACTTGATTCTGAAGAAGTTCTTATTTTTTGGGTTGGTTTGATTGCTACAAAGTAAATAAAAACAAACTAAATTATTTCCTTATTCATACTAACTTATATATATCATTACAACAATACAAAGCATTATTCAATGCATATTAATTTAATACTCTGCAATATCTATTAAATGCCATTATAGCATGACAAAGTAAAAGCTGAAAACATTTGTGAACCAAAAAGTACAAATCCAAAGATATATATATATATAGATATTATAGGCATTATGAAATGAAATGCAAAATTTACATGAAAATTCTGCCCTTTTTTGTCTTTAAAGGCTATTTAAAAATAAATTCCTTTGTGTTTCTGTTCTTCTAAGTTTACTAACTAGAGAAAATGTAGTGTTTTTTTAATTTATATTACCTTGGAGGATATGTTGAAAAATTTCCTTTTATCTTTTACACACACATTTTCATTCACATAAAATTACATTGAAGGTTAATATGTTTTTTTTTCTTCAGAAAATCAGATTAAAGGTTTCTGCTTTTTATTCACTAAAATACCTCAACTATGAACACTTCTCATTTCACACAAAAAATATTTAAATACTTGTTTTCTTTTACATATTAAAGTTATCTCAAAAGCTTCTGATCTTTTTGTAACATAAAATTATTCCAAGAGTTTATAACTTTCCTTTCGAAAATAACACTGTTTCAGGAAATTTTGTCATGCTTTAATACAAAGTTAGCTATATCAAAAAATTATAAATTTCTTATTTGATATAAAATCATTTCAAAACTTTATTTTCTTTCTTTCACACAAAATCATCTTCAAAGATGTTTTTGACACATCTGAAGTTTACGATACCTTTTATAATATTAATTAAAAAATACAGAATTGTTTCATGAGTTCCTGTAATAATAAGGTAGTAAGAACATACATGCCATTATCCATAACATACTAGACCACCATACATATCTGAGGGCTCACAAAAGTGTTCAGCCCAAACAGATGTTGATCTTGAGAATTAATACCTGTACCTGTTTCAAAATTAGAAATTCAGCATAGCCAAATGTTTCTTAGGTAGTTTATCTCATTGCTGGAATTCACTTTAAAATCCAACTGTGCTAAAAAGTCACCACATTAAGCATCCATCAGAGAATGTTTAAAAACTGGTAATTTTTTAAAAATTAATCTACATGTATATGAAGAAAATAGAGATGGTTAAAAAAAAAAAATAAATATATATATATATATATATATATACCAGGGGTGTAAATTTCATTTTTGGAAAGTAGGCATGAGAAATGTACTAGCTTGAACTGACTAAATTACTACACATAGCAATGACTTCTTCTTCAATGGTATTACAAAACTAAAAATAATATGACTTACTTTGCTATCTGACACAGATTTAAAATCTATGGGCAGGTCTAGTTTAGATATGTGATAGACTGATAGTATTCTTAACATATGTAAAACATGATTTAATTTAGAATATATATATATATATAAAAATGTAAAATTTCTGGGCAGTTTATCCAGTCCATGAATATGATGAAATCAAAAGAACCACATGGCAGTTGATATCAGAAATCTTGCCCTTTTCTATCATACATAGGAAAAAGGACAGTGAATTTCTAGTGAGTGGACCAAGTCATTATGCCCAAACACAGCTGTTTCATCTCATATCAATAAAATTTTGCATTCAAAAATTACTATTTTAATCACAGAGAAAAATAAGTATGTAGATTATAAAGCATTATAAGTACAAAAAATAACATTCTTAAAATTTTTAATAATTAAATACAATTGTATTTTACATATATTCACACACTTCATACAAGCAAACCAGCACTACTTTCAGGCTAGTACTTATGGAATTCACATTGGCTCAAACTCAAACTCTGGTAGTTCTGGGTATCAAGCTAGTGAATTTTTACACTCTGTACACAAGTAATATGAAATATAGACCTTGATTGGATTCTGTGAAAATATCAAAACTAATTATAAATATGTTAAAAAAAACAGCTGAATTTTGAGACTTAATGGAAGAAAACATTATACTTTTCAAGGTGGAAACGCCATCCTGAGGATCATCTCCAATTTCATCCTTTGAGATCTGTTCCACTTCATCAGAAAAAGTAGAAACAATTTCTGTATTGTAAACAGAGCCATTTTCATACCCACAACTGTCACAAGAGTTTGTGTTAGCAGAGTCAAGAAGTACTTTGTGTTCATTACTGTCTTTCTCAGGACCCACCTGTTCAAGGACAAAAATATAAGAGACAGAAGACTTAAAGAAATATTTATAAATGTGGTTATAATCAGCTTCTATTTTATAGGATTGAGAGCCAATACACTCACTCACTATAGTTCTATTATTTCTAGGTTGTTTCAGTATTATATATATCTAATTATAAAGCATCACACATGTACAAAGAGCACTGGAAAATCTGCTAGATAACAAAATATTGTCTGATCTTAACTTGCACACTAACTAACTTTGTATATTCACTGTGAAAAAAATATATATATGTACATATAAAAACTGCAGCTCTTGTTTCATACTTTATAACTTCTTCACAATGACAGTAAGAGTTGCTGGACATACGTTATAGCTCCTTCACACTGACAGTAAGACTTGCTGGACATACTTTATAACTCCTTCACAATGACAGTAAGAGTTGCTGAACATACTTTATAGCTCTTTCACACTGACAGTAAGAGTTGCTGGACATACTTTATAGCTCCTTCACACTGACAGTAAGACTTGCTGGACATACTTTATAACTCCTTCACAATGACAGTAAGAGTTGCTGGACACAGTACACAATGTTGGTCAGACATTTATGTGTTACTTCATAAAAAATAAATAAGTTCCACGCTCTTTAAAAATTCATGAGAACACAAACAGTTCATTGGTATAAGGACTTTGTAAAACTATATGTACAATCGAAATGGTGTTTTTAAGTGTTTTGCACTCACAAAAACAAATGTTTAAACAACTCTATTCAATATATATACATTGTACACATACATTTAACATGAAGTTATTAAAAATTAACATTACTTCATGAATAATACATATAAATGTGTCTAAGGCTAGTGTGCTTAGAAATTTATGACACAGCTACCTTTACAATGACATTTACATACCTGTATATCAAAAGTAACTACCTTCTCACTGACATCTATTATGGAAACCTTCTTTCCATCCAAGACCTCACTGGTACACAGAATATCTTCTGTCATATCCTGTAAGACAGAGATCTAAGAATGTAGAGAAAGTCCTTACAAAAATTGCAAAACAAAGTTTTGAATTACAAATATTTACTTATGAACGTCAAGTGCTAGGTCACAGCACTGTGTCAAGTGCTAGGTCATATTACCTGGACACAGTCTTGAAACACTTTAGACAACAAGTTATTCACAGTACATGTTGGTCAATTTGTTGGTTGCTAGGAGTCTTTCACGTACAATGCAAGTATTTTGAAAGGAAAAGAATATGTATATTGCTAATATAATTTCAATCTGTCTTTATACTCATCCACAAACACATGAAAAGGAATGTATGGAGAACTGTAATTCTTAACTGGATGTTGTTTTCAGTTTGAACCAATCATAAATGGCAATCTTAAGAGTTATTTTAAAAACTATAAGTTCATGTGATAATGAACGTTTTGGTGTCAAGTGTTAGGTCACAGCATTATACATATAATAAGCTGTTCAAAATCAAATACAGAAACTCTTCATCCAAGGTCTAACAATATTTTTATAAAAACAAAACTCAAATATACTACAATTTATCTTTCTAAAAATATTCATGGTTTTAACGAATAGGTTTGAACAGATATGTACTAATTGTATAAGAATAACAACCCAAACAATCTTAGCTCACAAAATTAAATGTAGAATAAATGTGGGTAATGTTCCAGTAACTGGTGTTATAAATATAGCATTCATATATAAACTGCACTGAGCTGAAGAAAGAAGCAAACAAGACTACACTTTGCCAACACAAGTTATAGATCACGATGAAATAAAATCTGTCAAAATAACTGGTTGTTTTTAACCAATAATTGTGGTATTAATTATCATTAACTTCTGATTAAAGCAAACTACCTATACAGAATACAATGCAAAGTAATTTTCATAATAAAATAATAAAACAAACATATATTACACATTTTAACTGTTAACCCTTTTACTGCAGCTGGGAAGTATATTTCTCAGTTCTCCCACCCAATCACACTGCGACTGGGACAAATGTTCAAAATTGCTGCATTGGTCTATTTGTTGGTTGCTAGGAGTCTTTCACGTACAATGCAAGTACTTTGAAAGGAAAAGAATATGTATATTGCTAATATAATTTCAATCTGTCTTTATACTCATCCACAAACACATGAAAAGGAATGTATGGAGAACTGTAATTCTTAACTGGATGTTGTTTTCAGTACTGTGTTTGAACCAATCACAAATGGCAATCTTAAGAGTTATTTTAAAAACTATAATTTAGGTAACAATTTTTAGAAAATTCATAGTATTTCATTTGGCACACAGTGCTTTGTTATGATGGATGCAAGAACCATACCAGCAGATGTTCTATACTTGAGTTTTAAATGGCCTCACTATGTACTGTACATCATGACAGATTGATTAACTTTTTACTTGTCATATAAATGTATACACTGCTTGAAGAAATAACTCATAAGGTTTATAAAACACAATCTTGTTAATAAAATTCTGGGTGTATTGGCCTGCGGGTGGAAGCATTTTTTATTTAGAAAATATTACATCAGGTTTGAGCATACTTCAGCTTCTTGTTTTATGCTTATTTGCATGAGATATATTGACAACGAAATGGTTTGTAGTTTGCTAAAGAACCACTTACATGTACACTGATGGGCAAGGCTGATTCAACTGAATAACAGGTTAAAACAGGTTTACACATGGGTTAATGTGCTTTAATTTCAAGAAATGTATGTACAATACGTCACAAACTTGGACTTGCTGAAAATAAGCACAGATGTACCATATTTATATGATGATATAAACTCTATTACTGAAGAACAAGAATGTTTTTACCTGCAGTGTGACTGAAACAATGAGGAAACACAATATGCATCTCTGCATGTACTTACAGTAATTGCGAGTTTTAAAATAAAAAAGGGGAAGGTTTTAGTGAACTCACTTTCAAAGTTATTGCTTTCAGAATTACACTATATGTGCTTTTATTTTTGAAACACTTTATACAACAAGTTATTCACGGTACATGTTGGTGTATTTGTTGGTTGCTAGGAGTCTTTCACATTTTTTTTTATCATCATATAACAAAAGGCTTTATTGTGATTCAACAAATACCATTATTGATAGGAGTGATGTTTTAAATGCTTGATTAGGGACATCATGAAACAACTTTGTCACTGTTGAATGTTTTACGCAAAACCGGAGAAGAATATAAATCCAATCAGAGTTCAGTAGTGGATGAAAAGTTTAAACTCATGTAATGGAGAGTAGTAATCTACTATTTAATATAAGGGACCTACTTGTATCCATCTTTTAAATGTCTTTTGGTCAATATCAGACACAACATTATTCAATTTTACAGAAGCAAACTATCCATGTTTATCACATGCAGTAAAACTATGAGTTTTATAGTTTAGTTAACCCTAAGATTAGCAGAGAAAAAAAAAGGATCCATTATCTATGCATAATGGAAGCAGATAATGTTGATAATGTTGCATGTGATCTATAAAATACATAATAATTCTTCAGTTGAGACAAACATTAACATTTTCCAACACTGAAAATGTATTTCCGATAGGTACTTACATCTGTTCACCCAATTCCCACCCTTCCTCCACACTGATTTGGGGTTTTTATATGCCAATTCTTGAAAGTGAGGATTGTGCTGCAATGGTAGAAAAAGCTACCTGCACTAATATAGAGGAGGGTGCAATGGGATTGGTGGAGGGTGGTCACATGATCAGCAAATGTTGCTGCAATGATGCAAAAAATATAGGGGTATAATAATGACTGTACATAAAATTTACCAATGCCTAGAGAGCAAATGAAGGTTGAGATAGCTAGGGGGGAAGAGGAGGTAGTACTGTTTTGGAATAAGTTAGTTATCCACCTGGCAGTGATTGTCATCTATATCCACATTAAGCCTAAGTAGAAGTATTTATAGACCAGACAGTGGTTATCCACAATAAACCCAGGTAGGAGAGGTAAATAGACTAAGAGAAGCTGCTACAGACAATACAACAGCTATACATAATATGTCCAGGATATGCTATTACAGAAATTACCTCTGATAATCTTGTAAGCTTCAATAAAATCACCTTTTATGCTTCTTTTTTTACAGAGAAAATAGGAGAACTTAACCTATTTTTATAAGATAACTTTCCCTCCCTGGAATCATCTTAGTAGCCCTCCTCTGAACCACTTCCAATAAATCAATATCCTTTCTTAGATAAGAAGACTAAACCTGTACACAATATTCCAAGTGAGGCCTAGCTAGTGATTTGAATAGAGGTAAATACATCTTTGACTAATAATCAGTATGTCTATAAACTCTAATAGTCTTACTACAAGCAATAGAGCACTGATTAGAAGTATAGAGTTACTCATCTACTATTATTATTATGCCAAGATCGTTTTCTTCAGTTTTGCTATTGAGTAGGTTCCAAATTTGAAGTGGCTAGATATCCATCAACTGGGAATGATCTTTCAAATAATAAATACCAAGTTTGAATATTGATTAGCTACAACAATAACGATCATCATCATCATAATTAATAACAACAACAATAATAATGATAATAATATTGATGATACTTTAAAAAAATTACAAATTATATATATGAAATATAAATTATCATATCAGAAGCTTATCAGTATTCACGATCATGGACTGTCGGGTATCTAGTATTTTGAGGATTATCCTCAGCAGCTTGTAGCAAGCACACACGCTGATCAACAATAAACAAGAATGATGATCATTATTTATTTTTCCAGTGTAAAAGTTTTATTGAAATCATTTCATTGAGACAAATCAGTCTTGTAATTTACTATTACTCATTCTATAAGTCAAGTGAAAGGTGACTGTAGCTCATCAATATTCAAATTTGTGAACTGCTGGGTATTTAGTATTTGAAAGATCATTCCTGGCTGCAACTGTGTTCAAATTATATATTAAATATGTTATCCAAATTATGATAACCCAAATGCATTACTTTGCACTTAACTATAGTTAAAGTTAATCAGCCTCAATACACACTTTACTAATTATCAATATCCTAACTTAGGATAGAAAAAGTGAAGGCCCAAGCACAGAATCCTGAGGCACTCCACTGGTAAGAAAGGTCCAGTTTGACTGCACCCCTTTAATAATGACCTTTTGCTTTTTTCTATTCATCCATCTAACAGTCAAGTTATTACTAGTCTTTACCAATATTATTTTCGTAGTTAATCTTTTGCAAGATACCTCATCAAAATCTTTTGGAAGATCTAAGTAACAAAAAAATCAACATATTTTCCATCATCCAAATAATAAGTAACATCCATGCAACAGATTAGAGTGAATATATTTCCCTTTGATGAATCCATGTTGGCTTTCATAAGATCACATTTCACTAAATGAATTTGCAAAGCTTCTTTTATCAGACTTTCTTAAAGTTTTTCCCCTTATAGAATAAAACTAACTGGTCTATAATTTCCAGGGTTTTGCTAGTATCACCCTCTTTAAAAATTTGGGTAATATAAGCAGCTCTCCAATCCTTAGGCATCCACCCACTGTCTACTGACTAGACAAAAAATGAAAGCGAGTGGCTCGTATGTCTGATCTTTTACCTCTTTTAAAACTCTGGATAAAAATGTTACCTGCCCTTGGTGCTTTATCTCAATCTTTCTACAACCACTATGGGATTAATATTTACATGATTCAGGTCAATCCCAATAATTCCAATAGAATGATCAGGGTCAGGAATATTACTATTATATTTTTTTTTTTGTAAAAAAAAAAGAAAAGAAGAAAAATTTAAAAGATCACGCATTTCACAGTCTTCAACAAAATCTTGCCATCAGCATTCTTTAAGGGTTGAATTCCTATTTTACATTTTTTTTCTTACTATTTAACATACTTGAACAAAAACAACCTTAGAATTAATTTTAACAGTTATCAGCTAGCCATTTCTTTCAAATTTCTTAATTTCTCTTTTAACCAAATCCCTAAATGTCCCATTGTTCCGTAAATATTAAAACATATTTGTGAATTTAAACTTACAACATTTATCACAACTTTTCTTCCATTAATCTCAACAATTCCCACACAGGAGTGGCAGTTACTCAGATAAATTTTTATTTCCCATTAAGTGGGCTCTTCTACAAAAATTGATAAAAACTCCTGCTGCATAAATCACTGAACCCTACCAAAAAAAAATCAATAAAACTCTGCCATGCTTATCACAGAAAACTACTTGATGTAAACTTACTCTCCAACCAGACTGTTTTTTTGTTCAAACTCAAAGTTATAAACTTACAGAATGGGCTGCTTGATGGAGTGTTCTTTTAGTTAAAATTTTTAAACATTTTGTTAAAATATGCATTGGAGTGTAAAAGTCTAAAATTAGCATGGATATGATTTTTTGGCTGCTTGTTTTTGATGATCTATAGTCTAGTGTCACTAGTATTGGAGTACTACTAATAATATGACACTGATCTGAGTCCAGTGCCTCTTTCAAAGACTTAGTAATAGTAACTACAAAGATTTGAAGTTAATTTATATGCTAATTATTTGCCTACATCACATAAATAATGAATCTTGTTAACATGTTCAATATGCCATTGATTAAGGTGTAGTTCACAATACTGGTATCTTACCAGTATGAAATATACAAGTATTAGGAAGTCATCCACAGGAAAATACAATTACAATGTACTGAGAACTAACCATTACACTATACATAAAATAACTTAATAAAAACATTCTAATCCTAGAAACAATGAAATCATATACTTTAAGTGATTTTAGTCGAGCCAACGTCCCAATTTCAGAAGCCATGTGGTACTTCTTTAAATTCTGTTGGTCAACACCTGCAAAAAAGTATGTCCACATTCCATTTGACATTTGAGATTTCTTCAATTTCCACAAAACTGTGTTATCATTCACATCAACCACAGAGCTTTCATCTTCAACATCGAGAGCTAAACAAGGATCTTCAAATGGTAGAACCAAGGAATAATGAAATGGAACGAATCCTGTTCCCAAAGTTGAATATGTCATTTGCCAGATACAACATTCCTGACAACACTGAGTTTTTATGGATTTTGGGTCCACATTCTTAATATAGATAACTAATATCAACATTTCAGACGTTTGATGATATTCAAAATCTGGGGCACTGTATATGTAGGTGCAGGATGATTTTGAAATAAGACCACAATTATGACCCTGGTTTGCATCTTTAACACAGTACTCTTCAAAACTGTTTTCTCTCTCATCTTGATGTGGTATTAAACTGCAATGTTCTTCCTTTCCAGAATGTTTGTCTTGATGTTGATGACTATCATCAAGGTTTATATTGCTTGGAAAATTAGACATGTTCATACCATTAAGATTTGAATTAAATTCACCTTCACTGTGCCAAGACTCAGTACTGTCTTTTACTTGGTTTGAGTTGGAATCTTCTGTTACTGAAAAATATTCATCTGACTGAAGAACTAATAAAGTAATTATCAAATTATGTTTAGTTCTGTCAAATTTTGCACTGCCTTTGTCTTCATCTATGCTATATGGCAGCTGCAACTGAAGATTATACTGTGGTCCAGGTTTCTTGGATTTCAATATTATACTGTCTTTCATAACATCAAGTTCAATATTATCAGCAGAATTTAAGAGTGGTAGTTCCACAGTAATGATTAGCTCTTTAGGTCGTGTGGACATCAACTTTCCAGGTATAATACTGTAATCTTCAAACTCACAATAGTTTCTATGCAAAATTGAATATTTGGGCACCAACAATGAATCATTTTCCTCATTTACAACAGCAAAATGCATGTTATCCAGGGAATCTTCCATTTTGGAGTAGGGCATACTAAAACTACTCAAGTTTTCCATATTCAGTTTTTTGTTGTTCTTTACAGTTTTTTCATCCAAGTCTATTGTACCTAAATCATAGGAGTTTAACGTAACTGATGTGTCTTTAGCCTCATTTTCATTCCCAGGTGAAGCTGATGATTGAATAGACTTGAGGCACAAAGCTTGACTGTTATTGCCTCCTGCTTCAACAAATTCATGCTTGGTTCTGATTATTGTAGGAACAGGCTGACCTTTGTACTTCATCTTAGGGTAGTGAACAGTTTGCTGGTCAAGATGCACAGAAAATTTATCCTCAACACCTTTCATAGCAATCTCTTCTATCATTGCTCTAAAATTTTTATTTTTTTGAGCCATGTACAAAGTGTCAGGGTTAAAAACAACATCATACACCATGCAACTGTCACCCCTTTTATCCACGTCTTTTCTTGGCGGGGCCAATAAGTGAGGAATATTCCAATGGAGACCTTTAGTTTTACTATCCCTCATGCTTCTGTAGCAATTGGGTTTATTAACGTTTTCATTTTCACACATGTTAAGGAAAACTTTTCCATGTTTTGTGCTTCCTGACGTTGTTTTTAGTACATAGCCTGCCTTGGGGTGAATGAAGACAGCATTTATACCTCTTTCCTTTTCAAGTGCAATGATATCCTCTTCATACTGACGCCTGTTTGCTGGATCGTTAAGTTCCTCTGCATATTCAAACAAAAGTTCTCGAAACCGCTCATCTTTTAATGCACTGCCTAATCTTTTTAGTTCGTCAGGGGTTAAATTCATCCCCTCACAGTCTTCTTTTCCAAAAATTTCTGTTGCCATAATCTTTAATGCACGTGTATTTGTTGTACAGCTTATTTTTTGCTAAATTTAAATGTACAATTCTACGCCTAAAGTACTCGTACAAGCTTTATGTGAGTAAGGTGGTTGCCGGAAACGCACGCTACAATAACTAAGGACGCCACAGGCAAAGTCTGCAGCCTAAAGCTTAACTAATTTAACAACTTTAAATGAACAGTACGCAATAACATTACAAATAGAAATGAAATTTAGAAAAATAAAAACTTCCTGAATGTAATAGCAAACAGATGCCTTGATCAAAAGTATCAGAAATATTAAATTCTGAAATAATAAACTATCAAAACTTCCTCAAAGTTACAACGCCCGAGAAGTAAACAACAAACGTTTCGTTTTGATCTAGAGCTATATCAGAAGATGGCGCTTTAGACACGCGGTTAAAAAAAAATGTGAATAATTAAATTTCATAATCAGATGGTTTATAAACCTAAAGTTTGGAGTTCAAACCCTGCATTGGACATAATAGCCATGGTGAAGCTTTTTTCTTAAACAAAAACAAACAAATTAATCAGGCATTCGCAATGCTATTAATAATTTAGGGTTTAAAGATAGAGGTAAAAGTTTGAAATACGATCTCTTTAAGTTTAGTGAGATATTAACTCTCATTTTTTCACACTTAAGTTGCTGTCACCAATTTCTTTAGTAAACAAACTATTCGCAAAATGTTTGCATTCGCTACTTTGAGGTTAAAGTTTCAGTTACTTTTTATTTATAATATTCGAATTTTCTAGTTATTGTGATTTCAAAATACGAGTAGAAAAGTTTTAAGCAGGAAACTTGCTCTTTAGTCTTACACTGACATGTATATACTGTATTAATCACCGAAACTAACTTTTAATTTAAAACAAACCAACTCTATTTAAATGCATATTTAGATATTCAAAATGTCTATAAGTAACAGAGAACAATAAATTTTTGTTTACAATGATATGTTTAAATAACTAGCAGATGCTTAATTTTTCTCAAAGTGAGATGGAGTTTCTGTATTATCCACAAACTCATTAAATATGTATTAATCAGTTGCAATTTTTGTATAGTACAATACAACAAATACATATACTTAGGTTTTCTTTCAACAGATGGCACTGCCTTTGTAAGTTTTTCTTAAAAGTTATTTTCTGGGTATTCAAATCAAACTGAATCATATATTCGATGACGAGGAACCCACTTTGAGACTAATAATGGATGGAAACGGCTTGAATGGGAAATGAAGAAAAACTTTAATATAAGTTTAACATAACAGCAAATATACAACGTTTCGACGAGGTTTAAAAAAAAACGACAACAACTATAGTTCTATTGCAGGAATTGTCTCAATTTTACAATAATTTTTATGGTATTTGATTTTCGTATTTGAAATTGACCACTAAAGAGCCTAGTTTAAAATGCTGTAACCCTTGATAACACCAGGCAGTAAATGTGAAAAAGTACATAGATAACTATTTCCCTGGTTTCAACTTCATAAATATAAAGATAGCACTTTCACCCTTAAAAATAAAAATATATTTATCACCACGAAAGTAACATTTCATGCATGTAATCATCTAGTTAAAGATAATGAGATAAACCACTGACATCTAGCGGCATTCCAACTAACTACTAAAAATATTAATCACAAGACTAAAATAGAAGAACTGTTTGCAGAAAAGGATAAAAATCGCAGGGAAGAATTTAGTTGAACTGTTTCCAGTACTTTTTGATGAATATATATCAAATATACTGTTAGTTACAAAGTATATCATGACAGAGTTCTGTGTGAAAAACCCTACCAGATTAAATTAACTATTTGCATGTCTTTGCCCTTAACAACAAGGTCCATCTATGAGGGTATATGCTGAAGCTAATGCTGATAACGTCCAGGATGGAAGGAGGGAACTTCTGCTTCACTTTTGGACTGGTGGGGTATTGGGACATCAATGTCCTGTACTTTGCTGGGCAACAAAGGTGGCAGGGCCATTGGTTCCAGTAGAGGGCTCAACAGATGCCAATCAACCAAGAACTACCATACTTTTCTAAAAAATAAAGTAAGTCCCGTTATTGATAATGTCCAATGGCTCAGCAGGCCCAATACAACTAGCAAGTAATAATGAAAGCTGTTGCAAATACTCTGAAAAATTAATGAAGCTCAATTTGGATCTGGCAACCAGCTTGAGGAAGCATAGTAGACTGCTTGCACTGAAGAGTTTGGTGGTCAACCCAATTCTCTCAGAGCTGAGTGAAGCTTTGTACTTACCTGTGCGGGTACAAGGGTAAGAAAGTGAATTATTGTCTAAAGCAGGAGCATCCAGAACACTAGTGAACCTCATACCATATCAATCCCTCCAAGTGAGACCAACACGGAATGAAAATAGTCAACTATAATCTCAGATCTGGTAAGGAAATTCTTGGGATGGTTGTACTGAAGAAATTATTCATCAGTTGTTCCTGTGCAAGAAATGAACTGATGTTCCACCTGAGAGTGATCTGGTGACAGCCAGAGTGATCCCAGGAACAGTGGACTGTATGAGTGCTTATAGCGCCAGGAATATCGGAACCTTTGTATTCACAAGTGATGTTCCTTTGTTTACTACAGATGAAGTATAAAGTGTTAATACCAGGTAACATTATTATAGAAACTATGAATGAAAATGAACTGTTTCCTGTCAAAGAAGCAGGCAGCACTAGCATAGACAATTACTTGTCTGACAAAGAATGAAGTTCTTATGTTGTTTTATAATTACGAATGATCAGCTATTCAGCTTTATGTTGAAAAGCAAAGTGAAATAGCCAATGCTAATGATGGCTTATACGAATTCCATGTCATGCCATTCTACTTCTAACATGCTCACCACTTTCAAGAGGCTAACGGAGCTTACACTGAAGGGGATACAATGGAAGAGATACCTCATCTATGTCAGTGATATTTTGGTCTTTGGTTGCATGTTATTATAATCTACAGCTGAGTACCTGAGAATGGTATTCCAATGAATAAAGAAAGAAAGCTTAAAACTTAAACCCGAAAAGTGCTTGGTCATGGGCGTGGATTTTTTCAATTACACTGTAAGGAGAGGTGGAGTCTCTAAAGGCCAGGCTAAGATAACTGTGGTGAGAGATTGGCCTCAGCATATGACCAAGTGAGAAGTTTGCAGTTTCCTCAGTTTTGTATTGTATTAGTGAAGATTTGTGGCCAACTTCTCTAAGATAACAGCACCATTGCCTGCTCTCATGAAGTTTGAGATTCACTTTGGATAAAATAAACAACCAAGCATTCTGATTCCTAAAGGTGACTTTAATGGGTGATACAGTACTAGCATATCCAATGACAAGACAGCAAGTTCCTATTAAGCACCACAACCAGCAACAACAAAATTTGGGTAGTGTTATCACAGTTGTAAGACAGAGTAGAGTGTGTAATTATGTACACTACTTCTACTATGGTCACCACAACATCAGCCACAATACAGATGAGTCTGGCTCGTTGGTCTTCATCCTTCTCCACCACATCAGGAGTTTAAGGACTATTTACCATCCAAACAAGAAGAGGATGCGTGCCTTGGCAGTCATTGAGTCCCTTTCAGCCAAGCAACCCCAGAGAATGACAAGGGTGAAACATCCATCTAAACCACCCTACGCTTGAGCAGTAAATCCCGGTGCTGGAAAGGCACTATCAGGAAATAGTTACTAACTGCATCAAGGTTCGAACCTCTCTATAACAGTGAAGAAGAGCAACAGCAGCAGGGAGTAACACCTTTGTTAAAGCTCAAAAAAGACGTACACTGCTCACGAGCCAGGCAGGCTAAACAGTTGTTGCTGTTTGTTATTAAGCACAAAGCTATACAAAGGGCTATCTGTGCTCTGCCCACCACGGGTATCGAAACCCGGTTTATAGTAGTATAAGTCTGCAGACATACCGCTGTGCTACTGGGGCGGGGGAGTGGCTAAACAGAAAGAGCCCTTGCTAGTGCCCAGAATGACTGTAAGACCTTGACAGCAGCCAACTTCAAGGCAATGATAACTTTCTGAGGACAGGGAGTGTAACCTCAATAAACACTGTGGTAAGTATGCCTTACATACGGAAATTTGTGTTTAATGCGTTTTTTCTATATGACAGTAGTTATTCTACCTAATATTTATTCACTAAAAGAACTTGAAAGTTTCTTATTTTTCCATTTTCGTTGATTAAAATGGATTTTAATTTCAAGTGGCCAAGTATGCAATAATTTCCTGTTTTTTATATATTTTACATGATAATATGATTTTTTTATTTATTTTGCTTTGGCAGTGGTAGCATTTGTTCTGTGAATTTTAATTTCATAAAGAGTTTATTATTGTTTTCTTTTGTTTTGGTTTGGCTATCTGCGCTTCGCCCACAACAAATATTCAAACCTGGGTTTTAGTGTTATAACCCTTCAGACTTGCCGCTGAAACTCTGGGGGAGGCTTATTATGATTATTATTAAATTTATTGGTGAACAATGTTCGAATTTTGTATTGCTATGTTTTAATTGCGAAATGTATGATTGTTTAAATTATTTTATTATATGTTATTATTCATTATTAAAAGCTTTTCAATACTTACGTGTGGTGTAATTTGTTAGTTAAAAGGGGAAGTAATCTTTGTTAGATTTCATTTTCTTATATGTATGTGAACTTACATTGTATGCTAAATGGTTTGTTTGTTTGTTTCCGAAGTAAACTATACTTGGTTATACGTTACGATCACTGCCAGGAATCAAACTCCTAATTTTAGTGTTGGAAGTCTGTAAACTTACCGCTGTTCCACTAGGGAATCTTAAGAGTGTGTGCATGTTTTTTATTAAACTAATAAAATATGTTATGTGTTAAAAGGTTTTCTTTCTGTATTCTTTGTTAAAGGGATTTCTTTTACAATTTTGATTACTTCATAATCTAACGAATTAATGTTCACTACTAGATAAATATTTTCTTCATTAAGTATTATGTCGATTTCAAGGTAATGGTTAAAAGGCATTTTTATTATTGATTGTATTACCTTAAAAGTTGAAGAATTATTTTTGTATTATATTTCAGTGTAGCTCTTTGTTTAAGGGTAGTGTGTTCCAGGTGATGTATGATTGTTCATAGGAATGTGGGAAAGTTAATGTGCTTCTTGACCATGTCACGAGTTTAAAGTTTATTGGCTTTAATGTTAAATTTAACTGTGAGCTTGAGGACAAGCCTGGATATAAAGAAGGAAATATAAATGTGATATTAGGGCATATCGTAAGATTTATTATTTTTTACCTGCTTTTATTAATACAGAAATTTCAAAAAGTTTTCGCTTAGTCTTATTCTATGCAGTTTTTA